GAAATTCAAATGCTGGAGACCGACACTGACACCAGGTAAGGGAATACCCAGCACATTTACATCCTTCCACCTGCCCTGCTTTGAATAGCAGCAGCACCAAAATCCCCACCACCACCAGCTCTATAAAGCTCCTCTTTCCATACGTGACACACACCAAGCAGCAGCTGCCAACCTGTGCTAAGCCCTGGGGCAACAACCTCCTTTGCTGGCACAGCACCACCACCCACCTTGGAGCATGGAAGCCTGTTACTCTCAGGACAAGTATAATGCCACCACATACAATGTCTTGGCAATTTCCCTCCTGTCCCTGCAGACATTTGCTGGCATGTGGATAAACGCTTTCATGGTTTCTGTGCTTTGCATTGCTTGGGTCAGAAAGAAAAGCTCTAACTCCAATGAGAAGATCTTGGTCTTTCTGGGATGCACCCGGTTTGGGGACTTGTGTATCACATGGGTGACTTCCTTTATTAAAAACATTTATCCCATGTGTCTTCATGTAAAACTTCTACCACAAATAGTTTCAGCTATTGTCAGCTTTTCAAACTTCTCCAACCTGTGGGTTTCTGCCTTCCTTTCTGTTTTTTACTGTATCAAAATTGCAAATTTCCAGCACAGCTTCTTCATCCACCTGAAAGTGAAAATTGACAGGACCGTGCCATGGGTGCTCTTGGGTTCACTCCTTTTATCCCTGAGCTTCGGGATCCTCATCTCAAAGGTTGTTGATGAAGCAGTCTGTGACAACATCAACTGCACCACTACAGGAAATGTCTGGAAACTGAATATCAAACTTTATCAGCATTTTTTACCTTTTTATTTTATCACTGGATTCGCATATGCCATTGCATTCACAACAGTCATCTCTTCTGCCCTTCTCCTCCTCTTTTCTCTGTGGAGACACAAACACAAGATGCAGATGAAGTCACTGAAGAATGTCAGCATGGATGCCCACATCAAAGCCATGAAATATATTCTGTCCTTTCTCTTCCTTTACAGCATCAGCTTTATCTGTTTGGTTTTATCAATGTCTTCTGACCCAGAGAAGGGAAACACTTTGGATTTTGTCATTCCATTTTTTTCTCTAGCTTTACCAGCAGTTCATTCTATGATCCTGATTTTCAGCAATCCCAAACTGAAAAAGACACTGCTGACCCTGTCCTGTGTGAAGTGCAAGATTTGCATGAGGCAGGAAATGTCATAAAAGCTGGAGCCCATTAACGATGTTGATATTTTCGTATAAAAAAGCAAGTACTTTGATCTCCAATGCACTTCTCCAGCCACTATAGGTAATAGAGATACTGTAGCTTAACCATCTAAGTTAAGAAAGCTTAATTAAATTTGCTTGAACTAAATTAGCATGAGTTAATTAATTAATAATTCTTTTCATCTGATGTAGAATATGCTGTGATGTGAATTCTTGTAATAACAAAACCACTGGGACCTGGTACATGGGTTTAGCTGCAAAACAAGCCTAACAATACTGCAGACCTTCTAATAATGCTTTGTTATTTTCTGATTGAAACTACGTCATTAAACAAAATGTTGACATCTAAGTTACTCTGTTATTTTACCCTGCTGTGGCTGGGTGCTTTGGAATACTAGGAGTCGTGTCACTGCCTTGCCTTGGTTTAATAGTTCTGTGTGCATATGTTGATCCCTGTTATTCACCAGAGGTGGTCACTGATGTACAAACTGCAATGCAGAAATGCCTTTAGCTGCAGTTGCACTTTCTATGCGAAACTCCACCAAGTCCCACTCCCACAGCAGGAGACACTCTGCACAATTGCAAAGTGCTTCTTTAAGAAGAGAGACTTAGAAGCTCTTCAGAAGTGACAGGCAAGACAGGAGATGTGGTGGCTCAGCCTGTATATTAGGGAGTGCTTCAGCTGTACAGAGCTCCACAACTGTGATTATATTCATAGAATCATAGAATGGTTTGGATTGGAATGGACCTCTGAAGGTCATCTACTTCCACCCCTGCCCAGATGGGCAGGAATACCTCCCACTAGACCAGGTTGCTCCAAGCCCCATCCAACCTGGCTTTGAACACTTCCAGAGAAGGGCCATCCATAACCTCCCTGGGAAACCTGTTCCAGTATCTCAGCACCCTCACACTGAAGAATTCTGTCCTGTTTTGAGCCAGGATGAAGCCAATTTTATTTTTAATTATTTTTTTTTCCTTCAGTAAGATTTCTTTTAACTAGTCACAGTGTGTTCTAACTAAGGGTGACAAGACAGTAGAGTGTTCCCAGCTCAGGAGATGCTGTGGGAATCACTGAGGGTGGAGGGAAGCGAGAGGCTTTTGCACATCCCTGAACCTATTTGTATATAATTGTATATATATTTGCTTATATCATTTAGTGTTTAATTAAAGCTGTGCAGTTTAGTTTTCAATCCCACCAAGTCTCTCTCTTTTTCTCTCTCTCCTTTCCTAGCTGGGCGGGATGGGGAGGGGATCAAGAGCGTTGTTGTCGGACCCGAGCCAAACGGTGACAAATTTCTACCCAATGTCTAAGCTAAATCTCCCTCTTCCAGTTAAAAAGCCAGTACCCCTCATCCTATCACTACACACCCTGGTAAAAAGTCACTCCCCAGCTTCCCTGTAGCACCCTTCAGATACTGGAAAGCTGCTATAAGGTCTCCTCAGAGCATTCTCCAGGCTGAACAACCCCAACTCTCTCAGCCTGTCTTCATAGCACAGGTGCTCCAGCCCTCAGATCATCTTTGTGGCCCTCCTCTTGACTCCCTCCAAAAGCTCCATGTCCTTCCTGTGCTGAGGGCTCCAGAACTGGACACAGTACTCACGTGGGGTCTTGTGAGAGCAGAGTAGAGGGGGGAAATCCCCTCCCTCGACCTGCTGGCCACGCTTCTTCGGAAGAATGTGATTAACACTCTGGGCTGCAAGCACACACTGGTGGCTCATGTTGAACAACCAGCCAGGTCCTTCTCCTCAAGGCTGTTCTCAATCCCAGTCTCCAGCTTGTATCTGTGGTTGGGATTGCCCCAACCCAGGTGCAGGACCGTGGACTTGGCCTTGTTGAAATTGGTAAGGTTTGTATGGGCCCGTGTCTCAGGCCTGTCAGGGTCCCTCTGGATGGCATCACTTCCCCTCACTGTGTCAACCAGACCACACAGCTTGGTGTCACCAGCAAACCTGATGAGGGTGCACCCAATCCCACTGTCCGTGTCGCTGACAAAGATGTTCAACAGCACCAAGCCAAGCACAAACCCCTGAGGAGTGCCACTGGTCACTGTTCTCCATTGGGACAGCAAGCTGTTGACCACTACTCCTTGGGTGCATCCATCCAGGGAGACTACAGGCCTGTCACCCTAATTATGAGCCACCAGTGTGCCCAGGTGGCCAAGAAGGCCAACAGTATCCTGGCTTCTATCAGGAACAGTGTGGCCAGTAGGACCAGCCAAGTGATTGCCCCACTGTACTCAGCACTGATGAGGCTACACCTCAAATCCTGTGCTCATTTTAGGTCCCCACTACAGGAAGGACATTGAGGTGCTGGAGCAACTCCAGAGAAGGGCAACAAAGCTGGTGAAGAGTCTGCAGCACTGGTTTAAGAGGAGCAGCTGAGGCAACGTGAGCTGTTTAGCCTGGAGAAAAGGAGGCTGAGGGGAAACCTCCTCACTCTCTGCAACTACCTGAAAGGAGCTGGTAGCAAGGTGGGTGGTGGTCTCTTGTCCCAGGTGACAAGCAAAAGAACATGAGGAAATGGCCTCAAGTTGTGCCAGGGGAGGTGTAGACTGGATAGGAAGCTGAAGTGAGATGTGATGTGATCACAGTGGAGGCAGATCCTAAACATCTAATCTGGACACATGTCCAGCTGAAAGGCCTTCAGAGAACTGGCACCACCACACACCACATGGGAAACAAACAGGAGGAGTTGGAAGCTGCTGTGCTGCTGGAAGGCTATGACTTGGAGGCCTTTACTGAAACTTGGTGGAAAAATTCCTACAACTGGAGTGTGGCTATCGATGGCTACAGAGTGTTCAGAAGGGACAGGTGAGGAAGGAGACAAGGAGGTGTTGACCTCTATGTTAAGAAGTGCATTGAATGTGAGGAGATGCCCCAAACAATAGCCAGGAGCAAGTCAAAAGCTTATGGGTAAGAACTGGAGACTGAAGCAACAAGGGGAACCTTGTGGTTGGTGTCTACTAGAGGCTGCCTGAAAACAGGAAACCTACTGATGAAGCATTCTTACTCCAGCACCAGGAGGCATCACACTCACAGGCTCTGATCCTGCTGGGGAGTTTCAACCACCCTGACAACTGCTGGAAAAGTTACATGGTGAGCTGTAGGCAATTCAGGAGACACCTGGAGCGCTTTGGGGACAACTTCTTAAGCCAGGAAATAGATGGCCTTACCGAGGAGATGCAAAACCAGACCTGATGTTCACCAATGCAGACCAATCCATCAGGGATGTCAAGACTGGAGACAGCCTGGGCTGCAGTGACCACACACAGATGGATTTCCATTGGGAAAACTGATATGGATTTTGGTGCCTCTGGAGAGTCCAAATGGACTCCAGTTTCAAGCAGCTCCTGCACTCTCAGATGAAAGAGGACAGTGACTCCCTAGAATGTGCTTGGCTGAGCTCCACCTGCCCCATGCTCATCATAGGGGATGAAGGGAAAGGAGAATCCAGGTGTTGAACCCTGACAGCCATCAGTCAGGCCACAATCACTGCACCACAACATGGTTCACCACAGAAAAACATCTACTTTGTCTGTGTCACTCAACACAGCTCTTTGGAACGGAAATTCAAATGCTGGAGACTGACACTGACACCAGGTAAGGGAATACCCAGCACATTTACATCCTTCCACTGCCCTGCTTTGAATAGCAGCAGCACCAAAATCCCCACCACCACCAGCTCTATAAAGCTCCTCTTTCCATACATGACACACACCAAGCAGCAGCTGCCAACCTGTGCTAAGCCCTGGGGCAACAACCTCCTTTGCTGGCACAGCACTGCCACCCACCTTGGAGCATGGAAGCTTGTTACTCTCAACAGAAATTTAATGTCACCACGTACAATGTCGTGGCAATTTCCCTCATCTCCCTGCAGACATTTGCTGGCATGTGGATAAACGCTTTCATGTTTTCTGTGCTTTGCATTGCTTGGGTCAGAAAGAAAAGCTCTAACTCCAATGAGAAGATCTTGGTCTTTCTGGGATGCACCCGGTTCTGGTACTTGTGCTTTTCATGGGTCGGTTCCATTATCGAAAATATTTTTCACTTGTGCCTTTGTGTTAATCACCTATCACAACTCCTTTCAGGTATTCTGACATTTTTCAGTTGTTCCAGCCTGTGGGTTTCTGCCTTCCTTTCTGTTTTTTACTGTATCAAAATTGCAAATTTCCAGCACAGCTTCTTCATCCACCTGAAAGTGAAAATTGACAGGATCGTGCCATGGGTGCTCTTGGGTTCACTCCTTTTATCC